CAAATCAAGGGCTGGGGCTGTAACTTAGTAGTATAACACTTGCCTAGTACATGTGAGGCACTGGGTTTGATCCTCAGCACTACATACAGATAAATAAAACAAAGGTATTGTGTCCATCTATAACTCAAAATTAAAAAAAAAAAAGATCAACCAGCCAATCCCAAAAAACTAAAAGCCGAATGTTCTCTCTAATAAGTGGATACTGATCCATAATGGTGGTGGTGGGGTTTACGGGAAAATGGAGGAACTTTGTTTGGGCAAAGGGGAGGGAGAGGAGGGGAGGGGGCATGGGGGCAGGAAAGATGGTGGAATGAGATGGACATAATTACCCTAGGACTGTGCATATGGTGCAACACTACATGTATACAACCAGAGAAATGAAAAGTTGTGCTGCAATTATGTACAATGAATCAAAATGCATTCTGCTGTCACATATACCTAATTAAAATAAATAAATAAATAAAAATGAAATAAATGACTCTAAAAATAAACAAATATATTTAGGGAAAAAAAGGCAAATCAACCACCAAGGAACATATTTGTATGTATCTTGAAGTATGAGAACTCTTGGTCTCTTGACTTCACATTTATCTTTGCTCCTTAGGAAGCTGGGCCATATAGATTATTAAAGAGTGAGTGTATGTTGAGGCATAAATTCCAGAGATATTATCATGTGCATCCCATCAGACCCACACATAGAACTGGGGATGCTGGGTGTTACGGTTTGTATGTGAGGTATCTCCCAAAAGCTCATGTGTGAGACAATGCAAGGAGATTTAGAGGAGAAATGATTGGGTTGTGAGAGCCTTAACCCAATCAGTGAATTAATCACCTGATGCGATTAATTGAATGGTAACTGAAGGCAGGTGGGATGTGGCTGGCGGAGGTAGGTATTAGCGGCATGGCTTTGTGGTATATATTTGTATTTGGCAAGTGAAGTCTCTCCCACTTCTTCCTGAGCACCATGCAAACCACTTCCCTCCCCCATACTCTTCTACCATGTTGCTCTGTTTCACCTTGAGCCCCAAGGAATGGAGCCTGCTGTCTATGGATCGAGACCTCTGAAACAGCCCCCACGTAAACTTTTCCTCCTTCTATAGTTGTTCTGGTTGGGTCCTTTTGTCACAGCACCGAAAAAGCTGACTAAAACATTGGGAGATACTTTGGACATTGAATTGCACATCCTTGTAAAGACTCCATTTTCCCAGATCTGAGTGGGGCCCGAGTAGGTTTCTTGATTCTTGGTCCAGCCAGTAGAGATTCTTCCCTCAACAGTTCTACCATACTGGTGAACCCTCCTCATTTATTTCCCTCCACCTTTCTATTTTACTTGGAATATGGTGTCTTTAATTCTTGACCTATCCTATGTGTACAAAGAAATACTGCCCCTGGGGGAAGACAGTATGGTTATCAGTGGTTTCAATTTACAGCATAGTATGTTGGATAAGCACTCTATTGCTGAACTACACCTCCAAAGCACAGTTTGCTATTTCATTTCCTTCCTTCATCTCCCACTTGGATCTCTAGGGCCAACTGTCTACCTCCTTCAAAGCCAAAAATATTTTCTTTTTTCTGTTTTTTTTAATTCTATGGCTTTAAGAAATAATGTCTGATAAAAAGAAATATATAAATAAAAATATGATTTATAACTACACTAGTCATGGTTGAACCCAGAGGAAAAATTTGATGTGTATACTTCTAAGAATGTATAATTAATCTTTTAAAAATTTGGATCATTTTAGGATGGCAATGTTTTCTATACTGCCAGGTCTGGAATTCTGGTGCAATGATCTTCTTGAGCCAATTACTCAAATTATCTGTGCTTTAGTTTCCTCATCTTTAAAATGGGATCATGGAATATCACTTACCCCCAGGACTGTTAGAAAGCATAAATTAATTATACTTGGGAAGCACTTAGAAGCAAAAGGAACTCAGTAGATATTTTAAAAATATTATAGAACATTGATGTTTTTATTACCTATATATGAATACTGTTTTATTTTTGCATGTAATTTATGACTGATACAGGACTTATCGTCTGACCCAAAACCCATTAAATGATTATACTGTAATTTTTCTAATCAATGTTTATTGTGTTACATTTATTATTTTCAGTGTTTTGCATACTAATAAATAACTAAAGTATTTAAGAACAATAAAAATAATAATAAAATAAAAATTAGAGATACAAATAACACTAAACATTTTGTGCAATAAATCTTTGGACATATCATTTATTTCCTAGGGGCAAGTTCTCAAAGTAGAAAACTGAATCAAAGTGTATTCACTCATTTTAGATTTTTTTCAAAATGCCTTCTAGAAACATCATGTGAATTTCTGTTCCTAATGCATGAAACTGCTGTTTCCCTGTAGCCTTTTCAGCTCTGGGTAGCATTTGGAAATTGTCTTCTTAGTCTGTACTCTTCCTAATCAGATGATGCTCTTTTTTCCAGAGTTCTTCTCTTTGAGTTGCTTTCTCTCCTCTTTTAATATTCTATGTTTTCTAATCTTAATTTTCCTGCCCTGCTATTATTACAAACCTTATTTCCTTTCTGGTTTCTTCACATCATTTCCCTTCTACCCACTTGGAGTTAGACTATTGTATTCTGTTTTGTATGAGCTATAAATCTAATAGATGGATACCAGAGACAGGAACTTATTTTTTTTTTTCATTGAGCCCAAATCTGACCCAAATGAAGTTGTTCCCAAATGGACTCACCTACTTCATAAATTAACAAGATCCCTGTTGCCCAAAGACTGTAACCATATGGACATGCATCTGAGTGCTGTGGGAAGTATTACTCTGGGCAGTTGGTCTGCATAACAGTCAGTGTCTAACCAGAAACTACTCCAAGTATTTAAACACAGAAGGAATTTAATTTAGGGGATTGGTTACACAGGTTTGGGGAGCTCAGAAATCGGATACTGAAGCAATATATTTTCCATGGAGTTCAATACAGTTCAATCTACCCGAACAAAAGGGTAGATAAGTCTCACAGAGCAGGGCCACATTTATGCCAACATCCAGATACAATGCAACTAACGCTCCTGCCTCCTGCTCACGAAGGCAGACTGTGGCCATAATCCTGCCAGTTGCACCCAGGCTGCTAAAGACTACTGTTTCCCACCATGCCACAGGAGAACCCCATACAAGACAACTCTAAGATCAGTAATATCAGAAGCTGGGACCACTCTTATGCTAGAGGGACAAAGGAATTGCTGGTGGAGTCACCTGAAGGAGCTCAGGGCCATCATGTGTCTGTCTGTTGGGAGCTGGGTCACAGATGATGCAGATGTATCTAATCACTTGAGGAGAGTTGGAGGGGGAACCTACCCATCTTTCCCCTTCTCCCTCTCCAGTCTTCTCCCCTTGTCAATTCAATCAGGAACCAGTTGACACAGACAGTTGTGGGATTGTACATAGCCTGTGTTCAACCCCCTTGTGACACAGAGCCAAGCAGGAGAAGGGTGTGCAGAGAGAATCTGAGGGCAAACAGGCAAACACCAGACAGACAGCCTCTGGTGTCCTTCAGGTCCACAGACAATAGGACAAAGTGCAGACCATGCTGTCCCTAGAGGTAGACAGTCCCATTTTTTAATCCTGGCTTAGTGATTTACTAGCTCTCTGGCCTGGGGCAAATCACACAGCTCCTATGAGCTTTAGTTTCCTTATCTACAAAAGGGGGGCAGAAAACCACATTTTACAAGGTCATTGTGAAGATTAAATAAAATAACAGCTACAAAGTAGCAGTAAGCATCTGAGAACAATTGGCTTCCTTTCATCCTAAATGTAGGATTTCAAGACAAAGGACAATTGAGTGTTTGGTCAAGGTCATCCAGCCTTTCTATTTTGAAGTGGGGGAAGGAAACAGAAGGAGCGTTCCTTTGAAAGCTCTGTCTAGGGTGGGGGTAGGTGATAAATTGTCCAATAATGATAATGGGAGACAATCTAAGAAACATTGAAAGTATCATGCATGGCTGATTCATTCCATAAACATTTATGGAAGTGATTTAGACATAGTCCCTGTGATGGGGGAGATGTTATTCTATCAGGGATGACAGATGGTCAGAGATAAATCTCAATGCGTGATGGTATGGGAATGTTTGCAAAAGTAGGAGCCCAGGGATATCTCTGCCTAGGGAAGTGGGAGAAAGCTTCAGAGAGGAGATGATATTTGAGCTGTTTGTTAAAGGGTGGGTAGGAGTTAGGCTGCCATAGAAAGGAAATAGGGTGTTGGAGTGAACTAGGCACATAGGGGGCTGAGGGGCCCCAAGTAGAGATGTTGGCAAGAATAGGTGGGAGATGGAAGAGAAACCAACGTATGGAGGGCCTGGTGTCAGAAGCTAATGATTTTATTAGTCAGCAGAGATGCAAACCACAGAGTAATCCATCATCTCAAATCTAGAATTTCATAAAGGGACACATCTTCCCAGATAATATTATGGCCTTAGTCAAAGGGCCGAAGCCTGCAGTTATATAAGGCAGGGTCTACGTGGGCATCTCACAAGAAAGTCTGAATCAGAAAATGAGCATACTGGGTTCCCCTTAATATTAAATGCAGAATGGAAAAGGTCATTAATTTGTCTTCCAGACGCTGAAGGGACCAAGGTAAATATTTAAAAATGTTCTTCTCTTTTCCACAAAGCCAAGAACATCAGAGGTAGGACGATGATGCTCATGATTCTGAGACAGGATTTCAAGGACTCCTGGTGAAATGTCTGCTGGCCTGAATCTGTCTGAAAGCTTAAAAGGACTTTGTTACTATAACAGAAAAGAAAATACAAAATGGTAACAGAGCCCTTCCTCATGTATTAGCTCATGCAGGCCTCATGAAGATTGTGTGTGGCCGACATACAAACATATTTTAGTGATGAGGAAATGGAGATCTGAGGGTTTCATACCTTTCCTAGGGTCCAGGAAGTTATCCCCAGGACTGCAACCGGATTTCTAGACACACAGGCCAGTGCCTTCCCCAAACCCGAGGAACTGCTCTGCCTACCTGCTTCCTTCCATATGCCAGGACAGCTTCTTTGAGATCTTGAAGGGTACGAAGTTCAAGATCCAGCCCCTTCTTGTGACCTTTGGGGCAGCAGGAGCCCTTTCTCCTCTCTTTGGGGGTCCATGCTGAGATGGCTAGTCCTTCTGAGTAGAGGATCAGGGCACCCTTTCGTGTGCTAAAAGTCTTAGGGAGAAAGAGGTTCCAAGAATGCTGGTTGGCATCCTCCTCATTCTGAGGTTTGCTGACCAGGACATAGTCTTCTGGGGACTTCCAGTTCAAGTAATCCTGTAATGAAAAGAAATTGCCTTGATTGAATCACTGTGGAAGACCCTCTTTTAGCAAATTCCACTCGTGCAGTGTTTGACTTTCCCTTCAGTTACTGATTTTCTCTGAGTTGCTTCATGTGGAATCATGGAACACAATTACTCTTTTATTTTTGGTACTGGGAATTGAACCCAGGGGTATTCTACCACTGAGCTACATGCCCGGCTCTTTTTTGACTTTTTGAGACAGGATCTTGCTAAGTTGCCCAGGCTGGCCTTGAACTTGCAATCCTCCTGCTTCAGGCTCCTGAGTTGCTGGGATTACCGGTGTGAAACACAAATACTCTTCTTAGCAACTGGTTTTTCTTCCCGCATCTCAAAATTAGTAGGACCCAGGGCATGATTCTATTTTATTCCTTACGATTGTCAGGAGAGCCATTCATGTGCTGAGGCTGGAGTGGGTACAGTGTAGGTAATGGGCCAGTTAAAGTTTCCTGATATGCAAGTAGGTAGTCAGAATTGTCAAGGGCAGCAGATAACTTTGAAATTAGATCTGGACGGGTTGGCAGTTTAAATAGGAGAAAACCATTCCAACCCACTACTGGTTCAGCTGCACACAGGGAGAATTTCTACACATTCCAGATGCTATGTAACTTTACCTAATTTGGCTATTTAGGAGCCTATAAAATAGTTATATATCTTGTAAGTAAATGGCATTGGCCATAGAGGTCCTTTGAAATTTTATATGTCTTTTAACACAGCAAAGGTCAAATATCATGACAAACTGCCATGACAATGGAAATCTCTGTATGACCCCAAATTTGCAAAGCACTCCCAATGGATTTCTTATTCCTGGCAGGATTCAAGAAATAAAATTCTAGTACAACCAGGAAATTTTGCCACCTCTTTAAAATCCTCTAAAATGATATTTTTTTGCATATATTAAATATGAATCCTGTGGGTTGAATTCCAGAAAGTTCAAGGAAGCCATTGAAATGGCACAAACACACATAGCATTTCAACCTCAGAGCACGACTTCTAAAAACCAAATAAACAACGGCTTGCCTAGAACCCAGGTGGGAATTCTGGTCATGAACCAAACCACCCAAATTCCAGGCAATCTGGATTCTCCTTCCATCTCAAACACAGAAGGCTGTCCGTCAAGGTGCAAGAGGAAGGAAGAGGGCCCCAGGGGCAATCTTGGGATATGAGGCCAACTACATTAAGATCTGTGAGAGACCCTCACCATCTCAGTAACAACCCACACCAAAACACACCTGGTTCATCCTCAAGTGAAAGGATAGAGCATTCCTCCCCCCACTCCCAAAACATGCCCCTTTTCAGCTATAAGACTCACCTCTGGTTCAAAATAGACTTCCAACTTCTGTTTGTTCTGGACCAACTTCCCGTGTCCCCGGCTCAGGAGAGAGAGCTTAAACATGTTTCCCCTCTGACCACCCTTCTCAGGGGCAGTTCATCTTGGTTTTGAAGGCTGAAAACTGGTCACACCTCAAGATTTCCGAAGCTCAGCAGCAAGCACAAGAAGACCACAAACACTGGGCCTTTTATTAAATACATTTTTCCCTCTTACAGCAGCTTCTTAGTAACAACCAGCCACACAGTTTAGACAGTGTGCATCTTTGTGCAGAGAAAAACAAACTGCCTGCCCAGACTCCTCAAGCCCCGGATTGTATACTCTCCGGACAACCTCTCTGTCCTCTGCGGGAGCCCTTGTTGTCCCTTGGTTCTGGTTGCTCTGTTACTGGCTGTGTGCATCTACAGATCTGGGCCACAGCACCATCCTTTTCATTGTGGCAGAGGTTGTTTCCCGGTTGCTATGGCAGCACAGGGAAATGAAGTCCCTTAACTCAGCAGAGGCCAGGCAGAGACTGATGAGGGCAGTAGTGTTCATTCTCCAGCTGGGATAGAGGTGGGGGGTTGTCCACTGGTCATTGAAAGGACCAGGCTCAGATGGCAAGTCTTGGTGATGGGGGTGGGGGAGGGGGCCATATGCTTTCTGTTGTATGCTCACCTTGCTTTTAGAGTGTCTTCCCCTTTCTCCTGACACATGAGCCTGCCGCTGACAACTAACCCGTAACAGACTCAGGGGAGTGATCTAGGTCACCTAAAGCCACCTGTGATGTTTTCCTTGGCTGAGCCCCAGCATCCCATGAACTGGACACAAGACCTCATTATAGCAGTGGCTGCTTCGCATGAGTGAAACTGGGACTCTTCAGTTTCCTTTCTGTGCCTGGTTCTCAAATGGGCAGCTTCTCTCCCCAGAGGAGGAACTTTGGAAATGTGGGTGGGGCATTTTGATGGTTACAATAACTGGCTTAGCAAAAGGGGCCTAGGATTCTGCAGTGTGTGAGATTGTCCTATAAAATGAATTGTCCCACTGGAATTTGACAGTAGCATCCCCATTGAGAAACATTGTTATTCCATAGGCTGCTTGAGTCTCTTCAATGCTGACGCCACGAGGAGCACAAGATGAGAGGGAAGTGAGTCCAGCAACAAAAAGGCCCCCTTGATGGTGACCTAGGACCCTCCATTGGCCTGGGCAAGCAAGCTGCCCTGCCATCTGTCCGTCGGTTTGTGGAAGTGCCCCCTGCTGGCCTGGATGCAGAAGTGCAGTAGGCTACAAGCCCACTTACCTTTCAGGTCCCTGGAGGAAGGCTCAATTCTAATGAGGAAGAATTTCCATGAGATTGCGTTTATCATGGAGAATCAATACAGTGAATCTAGTCAAAACCACAATGAGATAACATTTCACACCTACTAGGATGGCTATTAAAACAACAATAGAAAACAACCTATGTTGATGAATATGTAGAGAAAGTGAAACCCTTATGCGCTGTTGGTGGGAATGTTAAATGGTACAGCTTGTATAGAAATTGCTATAACAGTTCCTCTGAAATATTAAACATAGAATTAGTGTGATCGATCAATCCCACTTCTGAGCATATACCCCAAAAAGAGTGAAAGCAGGGTCTGTTTGTTCACCCATGTTTAGAGCAGCACTATTCACAAGAGTCAAAATGTGGAAGCAGCCATGTGTCCATTGACAGGTGGATGGTCAAACACAATGGCACCGACATGCAATGGAATGTTATTCAGCCTTTAAAAGAAAGGAAAATGGACCCATGCTACAAGTTGGTGAACCTTAAAGACTTATGCTAAATGTAATAAGCCAATCACAAATGGTCAAATGTACAGTTCCACTTATGTGAAGTGCCTAGCATAGAAGGTAGGATGATGGTGGCCAGAGGCTGGGGGAGGGGAAAGCACAGTCAGTATCTGATGGGTACAGAGTTTCAGTTTGGAAGATGAAAAGTTCTGGAGATGATTCGCAGTGTGAATGTACTTAATGCCAATGAATTGTAAACTTAAAAATGGCTAAAATGATAACTTTATGTTATGTATATTTTAAATTAAAACTATTTTCAAATTTATAGCACCCCTCCCTATTTTTTAACACTTCGTAATTCAATTGTTAGCATTATTATAGAGTGACCTCCTTACAGTAGATTGGACAAAATCTTACAAAACCTGGGTTATATATAGTTTACAGAGGTCTTAGGCTATAGTTGCTCCATTCTTTCTCCTTCATCACCCATTCAAGGTACAGCAAGATCCTTCAAAAAAAAATCTCCTGAGAGATTACTATATGAGACATAATTCCTGGACTCAAGGAGCCCCTGGTACTTCAAAAACATCGAGGCAGCTGGGCATGATGGCACATACCTGTAATCCCAGCGGCTTGGGAGGCTGAGGCAGGAGGACCATAAGTTCAAAGCCAGCCTCAGCAACTTAGCAAGGCCCTAAGTAACTTAGTGAGACCCTGTTTCAAAATAAAAAATAAACAGAGCTGGAGGTGTGGCTTAGTGGATAAGGGCCCCTGGGTTCAATCCCTCATGCAAAACAAAAACAAAACAAAAGAATCAAACAAAAACCCACAAAACTTTAAGGCAGGTACATTTATGGACATGGAGAAAGGTGGGTCCTCTAGGAAAAGAAGCGAATGTATACATATAGTGGAGGTGAGTATAGTGGATGGATGGTGGTAGGCGTTATGGAAGGCTACAGAGAAGAGTAGAGAGAAGAGTAGCATCAGAAACGCTGGATGGAGCAATTAGGAGGGAGTCGAATGAGAATCACTATGGTTAGCCAAGGAGGACTACCCAGGTTTCTGCAGTGGAAATTCTTTCTCCAAACTCAGCTGATTTTGAAATGCTCACTTGCCCATAAATGGTGAATCAGGGCTCCAGGAGGTGATCTTTCTGAATCTAGGTTGAGAGAGAATCTCTCCTGGGAAAATGCACAGGTGTCCCTGTGGCCCTTCCAGCACCAGGGCAAGGATGCCAAGCCTCTCTGGAATTGTGATCTGTGAGCAGCCAGACCACAGCCCGAATCAGGCCTCACCTACACTGTCGTGTTTACATCCATGCTGTTTAATATGGACAATGAACAGATCCACAGATCAATTAATAGACATTTAAAAGCATTTACTCAGTCCCCATAACAGTTTATGGAAAGTGCATTTAGAAAGCAATCGGGGTTATTGCTATTCTAAAGTGCTTGGGGATCCCAGATGAAAGGGCCTTGTAACTGGAAAGTATTTATAAGTCAAGAAGAAACCCTCCACACCCATGTTATACAACACCAACACCATCCCCCAGCATGCCTGACCTGCCAGCCCATGCAGCATGTCTGTTTAAATTACACTGTAAATTCTATAGGGTGGAGACCTTGTTTTTATGGTTTGTAAAGCATTATGAATAACCATGGCACTCTGTAAATAAATAGAAACCACATGAAACAAAGAAAATAGATGCTCTTCAATGGTCAGGTCCCCAGTGTGTTCAGGAATTTGTTCCTCGTTCCAAAATGCTTGGGGTAAATGGATGCCACTCTGGAGGAGTGGTCTAGGAGTTAGTGTCAGGATTTTCACCCTCCTTTATAAAGAAGTGTGATTATATTGTCTAGTAATTTCATTCATCTTCAGGGATAGTGTACAAGAAGAACCATCTGTGTTGCCCTTGCTTCCTGAACAGCAAAGACCATGCAGAGATTAAATGATTTGCATAAAGCCATAGAACAGACCAGAGGTGAAATGGGACCTTGTCCAAATAGGGTTCTAATTCCAGCCTGCTCTCCATCCCACCTCTGCAATAAAGTAGTGGCAACTACTCATAAGAAGCATAGCTAACCTATAGCTACCAGTAAATGACCATGACTACAGCCACAAGAGCACACTCCATGAAACTGGAGACTGGACACTAGATTTCTCTGCCATGATTCTCTCTAAACACTCATATCTTCCCAACCTTGCCTCTCTTTGCATTACCTTGCAAATATAGTTGCAAATTTGTCTAGGACATAACATTTTCAGCTTCCTAACCATTTGCACCAGAAGCAAAGTGGAATGAAGGTTGCTAGAGATAGCCACAGTGATCTACCATGAGCATCGAAGACAAGTTATATGAGAATGTCAAAATGACCTGGGTGCAGTGGTACATGTCTATAATCCCAGCAGCTCAGGAGGCTGAGGCAGGAGGATCACAAGTTCAAAGCTGGCCTTAGCAACTTAGTGAGGCTCTTAAGCAACTCAGCGAGACCCTGTCTCTAAATAAAAATACAGAAAGGACTGGCAATGTTGCTAAGTGGTTAAGTGCCCCTAGGTTCAATCCTTGATACCAAAAAGAAAAAAAAGAAAAGAATGTAAAAATGAAAGAGTTTTGAAGTTATGGGTATGTCATATTGTATGACATGCAATATGAAGGCTCATACCACTTGTTGTGACTTATAGACTGTAAGTCTCTGGAAGGTAGGGGCTTGATCATCATTTTAGGACTCTCCATTGTACCTCTTGCATAGAATAGTAGCTCAATGAATATTCATTATTTGCTTTTTAACATGCTCAAAGAGATGTGCAATTAGCTTTGAGCCAGTATGAAAGATACATGAAGGAAGAGAATTAGATCAAAGCCTGTTTTAGTAGTGTGTAGCTTGCCCAGCCATAGTACAAAGCTTAGGCCCATAAGTTAGAGACTCCAGCCAGGCTCAATAAACAAAGGCTGAAAGGGCACCAACAAACTCACCATAGAAGATGCAACCCTCCTAACTTGGTGGAAAGGGCACAGGCTTGCCAAGGATGAGTACTTGACTTGTCCAGAGCTGGGCTAATTTCTCATGTGGTCCAGGTCAGATCACAAAAAAAGAAAATGCAAAAGGAAATAAACCCAAAGGACTTAAAAACAGCATACTACAGGGACACAGCCACATCAATGTTTATAGCAGCACAATTCACACTAGCTAAATTGTGAAACCAACCTAGATGCCCTTCAGTAGATGAATGGATAGGGAAACTTTGGTTTCCCTAATGGAACATTACTCAATGGAACATTACTCAGCATTTAAAAAGAATAAAATCATGGCATT